ATGTATGAATAGTTTTCTTAACCAACTAACAAATATAATCTCAATATATAATTATGAAATGTATTTCAAAATGTAGAACAAACAGTAGTGCCGTGGAAAGAAGTTAAAACACGTATAACAATAACAGCACTTGAATGCAACTACTGTAGTTACAACTGACTAATGAAATGTAATGGACTTAATACCGAGCTCTGGTTGGCTGATAAGTTTTAACAGCCAGTGAAGTTTGAACTAGTGCCAACGTTGCTGTACCTTCCCGAAAAATTGTTTTCAGACGAGAATTACATTTTCTGTTCAATTCTATATTTCTTTAAGAATGCCAAATATACTACAGTAACCTTTGGATTATATGTAACAAGCAATTAAAATCATAACGTAAGTTCAGTTGTGGTCTATTTATGTTATGACGCAACTTTTTGATTCAATGCAGAGTATACTCAAACAAAATTTTACTGGATTTCTTTCTCAAAACTCAGCTCAAATTATAAGTAAGCCTACAATGATAACCTGTTTACCGATGAAACAAACTCATATTTTGGCAACCCTGCTTCCTTTACTTTATATAAACCTAAGCTTAAATGTATTTTTGCATTGTTATCTAAAAGGTTTAATGTTGTTGAGAATTTATTGTGAATAATATTTAACGTAGTGTTTTTCTAACCTTGAAGAGCATGGTATATATAGAGTAGAAAATACATTAAATATAATTAGTTTAATGCCAAGAAAAATCTACTATTAAGTTCCCAGGTGAAATTTCAGTACCTAATAAATCAACACCGGGTTGAACAAAAGGCAAAGATCTATAATGCAATAATTATTTTGTCATGTGCATTAACTAACTTATCTTTAACAGGAGTTGTTATACCACAATAAACTCCCAATTACGCTAATCTATGTAGACAACAACCAAACAATGAATTTCAGGTGACTGGTGATGAAGTTAAGGAAGCAGATCTGCCAAAAATAAGATTTGTTCTATCCCAAAATGAGACTATTATACTTGTAATTTTAGTTGCCTTTGAAAACCCCCGTATTATCTTTACTGTCGCCAATTTGTCAAATAAATTCATAACACATTCTTTGTTGAACATGCGTCTTTGTCATAAATAAAATTACCTCGCACCGTTATTTTATTGATGAGAAATACTTTTTTTTATTTGGACGCTAAATTCACTACCTTACCCACTCGACTTTTTATGTGTATTAATCACTAAAACCCCGCTTCAGTCATCAACCCTGATAATAACACTTTTCTAACAACATGTAGTGCCTAGTTGTATTGGTATTGTGGTTACTAGGCGCCGTTATCTGTTTGACCAGACTAGACCACGTGACCTTTAAGGGCACTAAATCTCTGACCACGACCGCTGGATTAATGGACCTTCCAGTCCACTAGTCTATTTATGGGTCTTTCCGCCGTGGTTTGGCCTTTAGGCATCCCTTCGTTTCCTGGCAAGATGGTCAAGTGTGAAAAGACAATGAAAAAGCATTTTGGAATCGAGAGCACGAACACTTTTTGTTGTCAAAGACTAAACCCAAAATATACCTTTCGCAGCAACCATACGGATGTGAGTTCAAGTTTTCCTTCAATAAAATTTACATGGCAAAATATGCACTAAAGGAAAATAATAATCTTAGATCCACGTGAAGTATGTTGGCTTGCTGAGAACATAAGAGTTTCGCTACGAGAAACACATGGGGTATGTAAATACTATAAATATCATACGCTGATGAGATGAGCTGAACAAAGAGTAGTTTGTTTAAGATATCCCTTTTTATTGAGCATTGTCTGTAATATTTTGTCTTTATATAATACATTTAAGAATCGTTTAATATACATTTTTAGGGATACACTTGGCTAAACCTCCAATACAGGACGTCGTGAAGGTGGGTTTATCTCACATAGTTGTTTAGACTAACGAGAAAATACGATACTGTCGAACTGAGAAAACACAAGGTGGATAATACAATAGGCGATAAAATGTTGTGATTTCCTCAAATGGTAACTCTGGCTGAAACAATAGCACATTTGCGAAAAACACACAAGACTATTGATCAAAAATGAAATGCGTTTAAGGAAATAGAAGTGGTTTGATTATTCGTAAAAACCTAATTAGGATTTTCCTGGTTTTAAAAAATGACAAATTTACCTGTTAATGCTGATAAGATTTTAGGTTCAGAATGCTTAGCGTCTTATATTACATAGACCAGACCCAAATATGTTAAGTTTTATGAGTTGTATTAATTTTAAAAGTTTCAAATTCAGCTCTTTTATATTTCATTGACAAACATGTGGTGGAAGGAATCACAGTATTTCTCGATAATTGCCATTTATTAAATTAATTTATTGGTTTCCAATCATGAATACCATTTCATAAACGCATTACCAATATTAATGCTTGCCTAATGTCTATTTGATTAGTTAAATGTCAGTTATTTTCGATTTCTGTGACATTAACCAACGTAATCTTCGTATTTTTGTAATTAATTTTTAAGTTTGTATTAAGTATTTGTAATGTTTTTTTCTGTAATTTTTTTTTCTATTCTGTTTTGTATTTTTTTAAACTTGTTCATAAGACTGGTTTATAAGATTTACCTGAAATTTAACTTATATACTTATGTTGTATTGATAAAATGATATTGGTTCATGCTAAAACGAATTCAGAGGTGCGTTTGTTCTACTAGCTAAAATGCGATCATCTGTTTTGGAGGTTTTCGTTCATACCCCTCCAGTCACTAAATGCCAATTGGCTAAGACTCCAATTGTTTGGAATCCATTTCAGCTGAAGGTCGATTTCACCTATCAAGAAGCAAAAGGACTCTTGGAAAAAATAACTCTCTATACATTGAAGATATTCGTTCTCGTAAAGCTACCAGATTATTAATATATGATTTATTTTATTTCATATATAACGGTCTTGAACAGTTTTAATCACATTCACGCGTATGAGGTATTTCCATTTTTTCAGTTTCCAATAACCCAACCTTTTTACTATTTTTATTAGTTAATTTAAGCTTAATTAGATTTTGCAAACCATCGCACGAAAGGAAAAATCTAATATTTTAATTTGATTGCTAAGATAATATTTAGATTCACGTCAAAAGAGTGTTAGCAACAAAACAATCTAACTTGTTAACTCAAGCGTCTTAATCGAACTTAAAGAAAATAAACTGTAGTCGACAAAATGTGAAGGTCTATTGTTTATCAATGTATCTATGTTACATATGTATTGTGTTTTTAAATCATTATTAAGCAATTTTTTCCAAAACCAATAGCAATTGTTTTTATAATGCATTTGTTATACGTATTCACTGTACCGTCACATCACATATGCTAGACATAGAACAATCATTACATAAACACAATTAAATTGTCACACAATGTAGCATAATACTGTAGATACTTATGACAGAATTATTACATGACATGAATGAAGAAATAATCCTATCAGCATTACAATGTAGAGACATTTTACCCTGGATCAAATGCCAACTTTACGGTAAGGGTCGTGTATAGAGGGTTGCGCCTGCAATAAGCTGGATGCAAAACAGATACAGTACTCACTTTGCCTACAAACCCCTGTACGCAATGAAATCCAACCGTATACTGTGCTGCCAGAACACTCCCATGGATATGGTTTTATTTTACATACAATTAATTGTATTCATAACATTAATTGCAATAGTCTAAAATTTATAATTTGTGAAATAAATTTCCCGTTTATGTATGTGGAATTAAAATAACGAGCAATTAAACTTTTTTAGTTAGATATATGCTTTTATAGTCACCGGCCTTTAAAACCGATGGTATTATGAGTTTTGAAGCATTAAAATGCATATCCCATTCTGTGAAATAGGCCTACTGCATGTACGTAAGTATCGAAAGATATTCGATCAAACTGCTAGTATCAAATATTGTTAGAATATATTTCAATTTAGGTTGTGTTTCCTAATACAAAATATGTCCTCTAATTTTATCAGACATTCATCGTTTTGGTCTGTTTATGGCATTTTATCTTGGTTCATTATTGTTTCAAAATGGTTACTCCATTAAGCAAATAAAAATGAAAAAAGACACGTCAACAATCTTCTTCTAATATACTTATTCCTAGGCCTATACCAGTAGTTAAGAATCTGTGTTTTAAGTATGTAATAATATTATGTAAATACGGTGTATTCTAGCATGGTAAAATTCTAAACTAATATGAAAAGACGCTCAAAATTTTTACAGCTTGATACTATTTTTGCGTATAAACTTTAAAAAAGTTGTTTTACGTGGTTTTTTACTAGGACAAGAAGTTGGACACTGTATATAATGTTGTAGTTGAAAAAACATTATTAACCATTCAAAGAATGTTAGGTACCTGTACTATAATATATAAATTTCATAAAAGTGGGCCTTTGTGGATGTAAGTATAACTAATTACGTTTACGAGAGTAAATGAGATTTAAAACAGGAAACAAACATGAACATTAAGGAGCAGTTTGTCATACCGGTATTTTACAGATGGTGTAAATTTTTTCATGAAATAGTAGTTATGTTGGAGATAATTCTGTATAAATCCATTCTTGACAATATAAAGTGCACAAACTATAATATCTTTTGAATCCCTATGTGATTACATGTCGAAATTGACTTATCCACAAATATGAATTAACTCCCTCTCAAAAACGAAAAGAAGACCTCACGTTTACCAAAACAGCAAAATATCCCCAACAGCGATAACAACCCAAAGAGGGCAAAGTGATAAATTGCAAGACCCTAATTGATAAAATATATCGAGCGGAAACAAGCAAAACAAGTTTTATCACAAACTCTTGACCCTTGAGAGCACAGTATTGATTTATAGGCCTATCACACACGCCATCTGTTCAACGTTGTGAACACGCCGGTTCATAATGTTGATTTGTGTAACAACTAAAACTATTCCAACAATGTGACTACAGTAGTTTCTTGGTGTTTAGTGTTTGTGAATGACACTAAAACACGTGATACTTACAATTCTGTAGGCAACATAAATACAACAGTCACTATCACAATCCACTGCACTCACTCTTCAACATTCAACTCATCACTCAACTCACTGATCACTGAGCTAAGTTTTCAGTGATGACGAACACGAAACAGACCGTCGCGAACGATCCACAACCGCGCTACAACACTGAACTGAAACTGGACTCGGGACGGGAGTTCGGTCGGACGGACTACCGATCATTCCTCCCACCTCGTCCCGAGTATTCCCGAACTCATCCGAACACGCACGAACACACACTATCACCTGGAACACTTGTGTATATTTTATGCAACGGATTGTTGTCCGATTACTTCTGACTGCTGATGATTTCAACAGCCACAGCGAGATGGAGTGGACTAACTCAATAAAGTGGCAATTGGAGAGTAATTATTTCAGACCGGTCGTAATAACGTTGGAATTCGGCCGTGTTGGTTTGGGTGACCCTGGCAATCATGTACGTTTGAGTAAGGGATATGATTACTTTGTTGGAGTGTATATTCGAGATTATAAAGTGTCCTGGAATCGCAATTAATTCTGTTTTCCAATGCATTCTTCAATCGTGAGATGAAATTAATTTGCAATTGTGGATATAGTGTGTGTTTGCAAAAACACCATAGGTATGTGAAACTATAGCTGCGAACTGGTAGAGTTGTTTAACGCAAGGTTTCGTCTTCGGTTTTCAAATCCCGAATATTACAATGGATTTTTATCATTTTTGTTAGTACCACAACCTCTATATCTAGCCTGAAATAATGTGAAATACAACCACTGACTTGAACTTGCTAAAATTATAGATATTGTAAATTAGTCACCGTAGAAAGGGTCATAACCCTAGTCTGTCACTACTATCTGACTTTGTCTTGAAAAACATGAGATTAATTAGTAAGTTACAAAAGCAAGCTGCTCAGAGGACATTCACGTCGTCTAATTGTATCAATGGAATACGTTTACATGTTTCAAAATAAATACCTAAACAAAAATCATATAATTTGTTTATCTATTCTAGTGACACTTTTGTTGAAGTCAATTAAAACTCTTCAGTCTAAATTACAATTGAAATCGTAAAACGCTTGCTTTGAACTGGTCAAAGTATAATCGGAACTCAAGTGGTGGTTGGGTGAAACAGAAACATGGTGAATCGACTGATAAAACAATTTTGAAATCAATTTTCCAATCAGAAAATTTGTATCGGGATAAAAAGCGCGTAGACTAACTCTTTTTCATTTTGCGTGCAAATATAAACGATGCTTTCATTCACTACATTGATTGTTGTAGTTTGATGTAAAATTACCTATTTCTGTTCTTATTCTTTCAACAGATTTATTTTATCAAAAGTCAAAAAAGTAATTTCTAAAAATGGATTTAAAGCTTGCATAGAACGTTTTGTATTCAAGAGCAGGACCTACTTAATAATTAATCCCTCTATTCGTTTCTGATCGTTGCCAACTTTTTAGCGCATATGACAGAGAATGGACTTCTTAATTATAGCACGATACTTCATCCAAATGTATTATCCGTTCTAGGATTTTATAACGGTTCAATAACAGTAAGTATTGAATTGTTGATAAGAAGTAGTGTAGAAAAGTTCAACGGTTTTATCATTGAACTGTGCAATGCCTTCAAACCTCAAATTTACGTTCATAAATTAACACAATACTTTGAGTTTTGAGGCGTCAATATGTTTAAGATACTTTAATGTAAAATTATTATCGTAGATTTTTACACCTAACAATCCCTAAAAACACCCAAGAAAAATTAATGGTTACGATTTTGAATCAATACTAGGAGAGTTGTACTTTTTTGTTAATTAATACAAACACACCCGTTACACAGGGTCTTAGCTTACTAAAAAAAAAGTAGGCTAATCTATTTATCTACCGACATCCAGTAAATAGTTGCCCCAAAATACCAGTTACATCATACGTTTTACTAAATACGCTGACTAAATAACCGTATTGTCAAAATTTTGCTTTGCACATTATTTCCAAAGTGTTTTAACATAACTTATGAAAAAGTATTTCAACAAATGAGCTCGCTAACCACGTGCTTATTTTCCAAAATAAAATCTTTTACCACCAACCACGATACACTGATGAGGTACAAAGTTGAGAAGATTTTAAGGTAGCAGTTTGAAGTTAGAGCACCATGTAGGCACCTGTGTTAACAAGTATAACGATATTACTGTTGCACTAACTATACTTATACACTTCAACTGTAGTTGTGCAAGTGTTGTTCTGGCTCTTGTAACACTCACTAGTGTTGTTAACACGTCACACAGCACATCAGCTAGTATGTTTTAGCGTTCATTTAGCTGTTTACGATTATTGTTTTGTTGTATTTGTGTTTTCTTTTTGTTTTTTGCAATCATTGTATTTTTTTACTAGCCTATAACCATGGACTCTATAACCTAGACATTCCATCCCCATGTTAAAGTTGTAGCCAGGTTTTTCATAAAATTTGTCTTAATTGATGTGAGCCACCTATAGATTGCGCTGATCTAAACTACTGATTTCTGTCGATTACATGGTGGTTTTTACCAAGTCAAACTGATGGAATGACTTATTATGAGCTATAGCAACTATTGTGACCCAGCAACTATGTCAGTAACGAAAAATAAGGTAGAAAACAGAGTTTTAGACACTAGCGCAATCTGTGACTGGCTCACACACTTAGGCTGGTTTTATGCACCGCGACAGTCGCGAGTCGCGAGTCGCGCCACGTCTTGCGGCTGACAAAAATGTCACGCGACAGCGACACTTTTTTGTCGCGTAAACTCACATCCGGTGGTGGGGGAATTAAAGAAAGCAGTCTGTTCTCAATCCAATGTTGTGTGTTGTGTTTTGATGTAGAAGTGATTATTAAGTTGTTTAAATATAGACCCTGTAGTGTTGTACACGTTAATGACAAAACCCCAGTTATTTAAACAACACATACAATTTACAGTTGGAATTGGGTCAACCCTCTTAAAAATGTCATTACACAATATAATGATGTAATTTATATTACAAATAAAGAGTAAAGAACTCATTTATATACTAATTATTAACATTAATCAATATAAGTATATGGAGAATATACCACGTGGAGTATGAAAAATACTACTGTCGCGCCGCGACTGTCGCGGTGCATAAACGTGCCCATTTGATCCAATAGAACTTGAACCGCGCGCGACACATTTTTTGAAGCTGCGATTCTAAAACCTGTCGCGGGTATTTAGAGTCGCTCCGCGGCAGTTTGTCGCTGTCGCGGTGCATAAATGCTCCCATTTAACTCAATAGAACTTGAGTCGCGCCGCGACACGCGACACGCGACTGTCGCGGTGCATAAAACCGGCCTTACATTCTTTTTTAGTAAAAAATTGGCGACAGTTGATCGATATAGATGGGATGTCTTCTTCTGTATCCAATAGTCAACGACACCAATAGTAACGTATATCTCGTTTAATATAATTGTTACTTAATGCTTAGTATTATTAGTTAAAAGTTGTTTACACGATGGGAGGAATTTTTAAATTTTTGTGTATTTTTCCGTTTATTATTTTGGGCGTCGCTGGTGTAATCATTATATTATAGTGCCATAAACTGTATATATACGAAAAATATACAACGAAGTTAGCTTGTGCTGTATTGAAAAACTGTCACGTTAATAAGTGATAATGCAATGGTTTAATTTTTATGTTTTTTTAATCAGCTATTTATATTTGGAAGGGCACGCCCACGTACGGGTACGTAGTTTTATAGTAAGTAATTGTGTGACATAAATGCATGGTTGTAGGTTGAATTGTATTATTTAATATACAAAAATATATATTATTCCCCTGAACTTACTGTAGTTGCAAACACGATGATTTCTAAGAACGAATGATCTGAACAAGGATTTCCAATTATTGTCTGGGTAACCGAGTGATTATACTGATCACATTCAAAGGTCGCTGGTTCTATTCCAAACGAGATTGGTTTAGGACTTATATGCCATTTGTAATTAATTAACTGTCGTTCCAACGATCTAACAAACTGCCGATCAGTCGTACCTCGGCCAGAGTAAAGACGTTTCTTAAATAAACGGTAACAGCAATCTGACACATACTTTCTCCCATTAGCTTGTCAACAACCTTAATCTTTGGTAGGCGGTGAGAGTAACCAACTATGATGCAAAAATCACCATAATTTTTACAGGAATCGGGTCGCACTGTTTTGTAAGGACGATAAAAACAAATTTCAGTCAAAATAGGTTTTTTAAAATCCGTTTTTCCATTTTTTTTTTTTTTGGGTATTTATGAGAAAATAACAAAGTTACAATAACTTTTGAACCCTAGTTTTTACAGCAATGGGGGTTGCACTATGTTGTTAAGAATTTTAAGTACCATCACATACAAATTTCAATCAAAACCGTTTTTTTTTTTCAAAAATACAATTTTTTCTTTATTTCATGTTTTTTATGGGAAAATAACATAATTTACAATAACTTTTGAACAGTAATATTTACATGAATGCAAGTTCTACAATGTTGCTCAGAATTTAAAGGGCTACAACATACTAAATTGTTATCAAAATCGTTCGGGCCGTTTTTCAGGTTAAGGGGGGCCCAAAAAAGGATATATCCACTCAAAACTCAAACTCGAAAATTTTGACGAAAACAATAGCCTACTTTATCCATTTAATATGTATATGGGGGAAAAGTTAAAACTGTGAAAAAGGCAATAATGTAAATAAATTTAAAAAAATAATTCTCTACACTGGTATTGCACAATACAGTACAGTAAAATTTGTTGAAATAAGCAAGCTTAAGGAATTTTCAGGACCTTGCTTTGTGATAGTGACGGTTAACAATATCCAGGCATCCATTTTGGTTTATTTCTTTAATAGAAAACAATTTTTAAAACGCTCCATATAAACATTTATCCAATGAGCGCAGTTTTCTTTCCGTTCGTCTGTGGCTATATCAAATTTCCCAACAACTTGTCTCAATTTATGATAGAATATTTAAATATGATTATTACGTATCTTAACACGTCAAATAAGCATATTTTTGGTAAAATGTTGCAGTAGTGATATGCTTTATGATCTCCATCCAAATTAAAACCAGTACTTGTAAAAGTACATTGTACCTTGTAGTATAGCCAA